AAGAAGAGTGACCTGAAAGGTCGTGAGACTGATCATGCTCTTAAAGGTAAGAACATCCATGTATCTTATTGATTAGGTACTTAAGTGCATGCATGTGCAGTTCCCCGAGTTCATTTATTCTTGCACGCATCTCATTTGTTTTTGTTTTGTTTTGAATTTTTTTTGTGTTTGTGCTTTTAAAAGTTCTTAATTTTTTAAATAGATAAAATAAATAAAATAATAAATTATTGGGTTTTTGTGCTACTGGACATCTCTTGATGTTCTTAAATCATGCGTTTGGAATTGAGTATGCATTCATCTAATCTATACTATTATTTTCATTACTTGGTTAGATTTAATATGGAGTATTGAGTATATGTTTCATCATGTATCATCTGCACTGCACACACTATGATATTGTTAGTGAGACTCTACTGCGTGTGTGAGATTTGGGATGTCAATCATATGTTAGTAAAGTGATTTTGAATATGAATTGACCTTATTTATTAGACTTCGGCTCAAGTTTATCCCCGGTAGTAAAAAACTCAATATCTTATGTTCTTTTTCAGAGCCTATTTGACCGGAGCAATTAAGCCCGCAGGATTTCTCATAACTTGGTGCCTATAGTCAACTGACTTGAGTTAACTGGCTTAAAGCTCGCTACAAAGGTAATTTTAGTCGCTTAATAAAAAAGAGCCTGCACTTAAGATGTGAAAAATAATAATGAGTTTATAATATTAAATGATATGAAAATAAATTATACTTAAAGTTAGGGGGAGAAAATAAAATTTACATAAAAAATGAGCTTTTATGTATAGGTTCTAATGTGCTTTAAATGATTTGACTTTTATAAGTAGAGGAATACACTTATTGCAGTGGTGTTTAGCGTGTCATTTCCCACAAAATTAAGGTCTTTAGTCTTACTTCCAAAGGATTAGTGACACTTTNATAAGTCCTAATGTGTTTTAAATGGTTTTCCTTTCATAAGTAGGGGAAGAAACTTATTGGCTGTGATGTTTCGCGTATCCTTTCTCACAAATTTAAGGTTTGGAGTCCTATTTTCCAAGGATTAGTGACACTTTACACATATGAGTCACTTATACAATTAACTTGAGTTACGTATGTGGGAAGAATTATTGTTCATTGCATATACTTATGCATGCTAACAATTGCATTTTTGGGTTGTTGTATGTTAATTATCGTTTCCTTGTCATTTGTGAAAAAAATGGAGAGTAGTAGTATTTTATGTGCTCAAGTTTTTTTTTATATATATATTTTGATGGACTTAATTTTTTTTTATTTTTTGACATTAACGTTGATTGTTAAAATGTTGGTTCAGAAGTATATAATATTTGTTCAGCTATATTAAGTTTTGATATTTAGTGATATCAATATTTCTTTTGATATGTTGGTTTACATTGATATTGCATCTTAATTTAGCTGTGCATATTATTTTTTTAGCTGGTATGACTTATGCTTAATTGTTTGAATTATGTTTATTCATATTACCGTTCCACGTGCTTTTACACTAGGTATTGAGTTATATGTTTCAGGAAACAAGTTTACAAAGAAAAAACACAATTCAGTCAAGACAGTTGGTTTGATAGTAGTATGTGTTTTGAGTCTATTTTATTTTACTATATTTTTTTATTACCTTGACTTTAAATTTGTAGTTTTGTCACAGAATACTAACGAGGGAGCTTGCTAGGTTTTTGATGTAATTGACAAATCTGTGAACAAAATGGACTAGATTTAATGTGTTGTAAAAGTCGAGGACTAAGTTGCAAATATAATAAATTGAGTTGTATTGGATATAGGGTTCGAGAATGGAAATAAGGAAAAAACAGTGCGGCAATTTCGTTAGACTGTCGCCTTGACTTTGCTTGAGCGGCAGAAACAGAAACATTGTCGTTAGCCTGTCGTCTGGCCTTCGCTCGAGCAACACGCTCGCCTGTTGCCCAGCTTTTGCTCGAGCGATAGGGCTATTCGGAGAATTTTAATTCACGTTTTTTAGGCAGTATAAATATCATATAGCCTCTGAACGTCTTTTCCTAAGGTTGAACATTGAGAAAACATTGATTGCTTCATATCCTCTCCATCCATAACTTTAAACCTTCATTGTTTGTTTTGTTCTTGGCATTGAAAACATTAAACTCACTTAATCCAAATATCAAACTGCTACTTCGTACACATCTGTCAGAATGCTGAAGATCAAGGGAAGGTGACTAGAGTTCCAGTTGTTGGCGCAAGCTTGCCCTGTTTCCTGCTCCCCCTGCCCTCCCCTTTTTTTAATTTTCAGTTAAAATACAAATTCAAAATTTTAAAATTCAAAGCAACTAATGTTCAAACTAACTATATCAATATCCAAAGCAAGCACTCGAAACAAACAGTGTCCAAAATAATTTTTTTTTAATTCTTCACGTGACGGGTTCTGGGCGGGGTATCTCCGCACCGCCCAGCCCCAAGACAAGGCGGCGATCCCCGCCCCGCCAACCCGTCGAGTCGGGTAGGGTCGAAGCGGGATGGGAAGTGACAGATTTTTTTGCCATCACTAGTTTCATCTAACAATCTCATATTTGAATGATTCTTTAGTGAGAATATGATTAAAGCTAGAAAAAAAAAGTTATGAGTTGACGTGTAAAATAATTTTATTGGGAGAATGTGTGATTGAAAATGAGTTCAAGGAAAAATGATTTTCAAATAAGCATTGCCAAACATATACTTAATCTTTCAACCAGCTAGTTATTCACCAAAAGAAAGATGAATTTTTTTTCCCAGTTGCTTTAGCAGCCTTCGAAATCCGACGTTGTCCATGGCGAGCATGTCACGTGAATTAAATAAGATTGTTAACAAATATCTTGCAAACGTCTCTGGATTAATTAAAAATATGAACTCCGATTCTTTAAGCCTGTTTCGTACATGTAAAAAAAATGTCTCTATTCTCCATTGCTGTATCTATTCTTTGGTCATGCAATACTGATTAAGAACATTTATTTTTCTATAGAAAAGACATTTTACGAAAAATATTATATTTTTTGTGCTCCTTTTTTGAAATCAATATTTTTTATTTTATTTTTTACTAAAGAAGTATATCTATAATATATTAAATATCACATCAAGTGAGAATCATTTTTCGGACAATTCTAACTTGTCTATAATTCAATTATTTCAATAATATATTACTTTTCATTTTTCAATATGTATTTAACAATTCAGTTACTATTAATGTACACGTACATTTGATATATTCATTTCACTCGTGTGCTTTATCTAATGTATGAATTTCTTATTATTAATTTTCAATCAATTCACATTCATTTAATTAATATTCATTTTCATCTATGCATTTCAGTGTTATGAATTCTAATTATAAGTTAATTAGATTTCACTTATTCGCGTTTATGTATGATAATTAACATTCAATTACATTTAATTGAAATAAAATATCATGATAATAATTTTTTAGACTTAAATTAGGTATATTAATATCACATGAAAGAAGGCATGGCCGCATGGAATGGGAAAATAAGTGTAAATGGCAATTTCATTAAATGTTGGATTGTAACTGCAAGAATCCCCAGATTGTCTGATATTATAATATAATCTGGATTACTGGATATTCTAATAATTGTGATTAAAGTGTCTCCTTTTTGGGTCATGGAATAGACATTATATAAAAAGTAGAAAAAACATTTGAGAAACATCAAAAAAGAACTATTTTGCATAGAAAGCCTTGCAAGATGGCATTCATCACTACCCTCCGTTTTCTTGGAGCAATCACTTTAGTGTTCTCTCTTGTTGTTCCTGGCCTTCATGGTCATGTAGAGTCTAAAATAAAGAGGTCAAATAGAGCAATGCTTTTCAAGTTTCCTCAAAACTTGAGTCATTTCGATAGTAAAAGATTTGTTCCTTCAGGCCCGAATAGACAACAATCTCCTGATCTTCCTCCAAGATTTTCATATTTTGATGGTAAAAGACTTGTTCCTTCAGGTCCAAATGGACAAAAATCTCCCGATTCTCCTTCGAGAATGGAGTACTTTGATGTTAAAAGACTTGTTCCATCAGGCCCAAATAGACAAGAATCTCCCGATCCTCCTCCGAGATTTTCGTATTTTGATGGTAAAAGACTTGTTCCATCAGGCCCGAATAGACAAGAATCTCCCGATCCTCCTCCGAGATTTTCGTATTTTGATGGTAAAAGACTTGTTCCATCAGGCCCGAATAGACAAGAATCCCCCGATCTTCCTCCGAGATTTTCGTATTTTGATGGTAAAAGACTTGTTCCTTCAGGCCCAAATAGACAAGAATCTCCCAATCTTCCTCCAAGATTTTCGTATTTTGATGGTAAAAGACTTGTTCCTTCAGGTCCAAATGCACAACAATCTCCAGAATCTCCCCGAAGAATGGAGTATTTTGACAGCAAAAGACTTGTTCCTTCAAGTCCAAATCCACAACAATCTCCCGATTCTCCTCCAAGATTTCGGTATTTTGATGATAAAAGACTTGTTCCTACGGGCCCAAATGCACAAGAATCACCCAATTCTCCTCCAGTATAAAAGAAATTTCCCATTGTTGGTTCGGACATGTTTGCTCAAAAATTTATAGACGACATGAGAAATAAAAAGTACACATGCCCGCATCTACTTTGTGAGTTATTCAAATTCTCTGTAAACATGTCCAAAACTTCTCTACTTCTAATTGTTTCTATTTATGGTTAATTATGTTTAAATAACTGTATACGCATGAAATAAGAGCACGAATCACTTCGTAATAGACACAATTATTTCATAAAAGACACCCTCATATGCTTTGTTTTACGCATGCGAGAACGCTTTGATAACAAAATCTAAACTTTTAGACTAGGCAAAGAGCCCTCGAATAAAGTGTCGTAGCTGCAGCCAATTATGAAAATTGTACACAAGTGAGATCTTCAGTAAAGAAATACGCGAGAGGACGTATTAGTGAAAAAAACATGTTGTCCAGATTCCAGTTGCTCACCTTGTACACTTCGTTTGGTTTGATCATTTGCAAAAACCATTCTCTAAACCATGTTCAGATCCATTGACACCAAAAGAAGTGTCCAACCAACCTTCAGCCTTAGCCCTTTCAACGTAATGTTCGAACTGTTTCTTAGCATAGGGTACATCTAAAGCCAAGTCATCGAGAGACACTGCCACTCGCGTAAAACCATTGAACATCTGGTTCTCCGTTATAAGTCCCATGCTAAAACACTCTCGAAGCAAGCCCCATAATCTCTCGTTCTTATTCTCCATAATTGTTACCAACGATTTCTTTATAACCTCGTGGTGAAAAAATGGCATACCGAGCTCTTTTATGCAAAGATAAGCTTCTCTCGTCTCCCCACCAGACTCAAACTCCTGTAATATCTTTCCAATTTTGTCCTTCACATCTTCAATTGTTCGTCCACTGGTGCAGCTTCCACCACCGCCCCAACACCTTAATATCCTCTCCCCAGAAAGTCGAGCCTTCAGCAAGGAGGTTGCCGTTCGAGTAACTCTGTTTCCTATTGTATCTGACCCCGAAAACTCACTCCCAATCTCATCTAACTGTTGTGGAGTCAATACTTCATCCACCACTGCCCTTGCTAAAAACATTGCCAAATCCTCAACAACACCAGGGATATCGAGAGCAGCGTCTTCAGCTGATTCTAGTAACATCGTAAATCCGTTAACCACATAATCCGTTGGGAAGCATAACGATAATAACAAAACAGAAGCCATTTCCTTCTCTCGATTTTTTCTGTCCATGGCCAAAGTAATCAGTTTCTTCACAAATATTGCGTTTAGTTCAGCCATAGAGGAAACTTTCTCAGATTCTAAACAATGGCATACCTCAGAAATGTCACCAGACAAAAAGTACTCCTTAATTATCGACTGAGCCTTTATCTTGAAGGATTTAATCGTACTGTCTTCAACGGCTTGATTCCCGGGCCGGAGTGACAGTGACTTCAAAGATGAGGCACACAACCACCCTTCTGATGCTGCTTTCGAGATCAAAGACTGTAATATCACCTTTGCATTTGGTATATCTAGAGATAAGTCATCGACAGAGTCAATAATTCGGCCAAATCCCAGTGATATTTGACTTGAATTAATAAGACCTTCTTCAGCAGCTCTCTTCAGCAAGTCGAGAAGGCAGTTTTCTGCTTGCCTTTTTTCCATAGCCATTATAACAGCGCGCTTGACAATCTCGTGGTGGAAGTGAGGAACATTCAGATCCTTGATGCATCTACATGCCTCTTTTACATCACCACTCACTACATACTCGATCAATAAGTTATTAATCTTACCCTTCAAGTCTTCAACCGTTTTGTTCTTGCCACCCCCCCAACGCCTCTCAATGGCTTCTACATGTAAAGGAGCCGACAAATAGCCCTTTTCAGCTCTTCTGATGACATCAACCCCCTTTGAGTCCTTACTCAAACAAGCCATTGCTTTTGTCAAGAACGAGGGAGGAAGTATGTCATCAACCACCGCTCGAGCAATAAATAATGCAAGAATATCAACTGCATTTGGTATGTCTACAATCAAATCATCTGTAGACTCCAAGAGCTTCTGAAAACCTTTATAAACTTGGGGAGGATCAATCACGTTTCCATAAAGTGAAGATAACAAAACTGCAGCCATTTCTTTTTCTTTGTCATGCCTGTCCATAGCAACAGAAACAAGCTTTTTGACAAAATAATAGTTATAGCTCGACATTTCCAGTTCTATTAGCTCATTGGCGGTCGAGATAGCATCATCATTGGCAAAATATTCCTCTACTATAATTATAGCCTTCTTTTTGTATTCTTCAAATTCCGAATTTGTCTTCTTAGCAATAGAACTCTTGTCCTCCTGAAAATATATATTACGAAAATGGAGTGATTTTTAACACTAATCATTGTTATATGCGAAGAACAGTGCAAAACAAAAAGCAAAATTGATGATAGATGTTGACAACCTCATTGCTGCTGTAGTTTGGATCATTAAGGTCTAGGGTGCAATCATCGTCTGTATCAAGTAGCCCTCCCCAGGTTCCTTTTCCTCCACAACCATCTGCATGTCGATTACCGATAAACTACATTGGAACCCAAAATCCACAGAAAATATCCAATCGCCAAAGGCATTGAGCAGTATTAACATTATAAATGTAATCATAAAAGTGAAATTATGGATGCTAAGCATAAGGTAGATCAAATCAATCAGTGGAGCACCTACTCATTCTAGCCAGTCACCAAGTGGAGGTGCTGCCGATGAAAGATAAAATAAGGGAATGACGACTTAAATAGTTGTGACACGTTGTATGTAGACCTAAAGTAACTCTTGTACCTAAGAGTGGCATAATCTTGGCATAACAGGTCAGGAGATATGGATAAATCAAATCTAATATGGCTCATAGTAATTGCTAAATATCTAATTCCTTTGGAAAGTTTAGTGAATTTAGCAATGAATTGAACAGAGTGGCAAAAAAGAATTAACATAGCTGTCCCCAATTTTGTTGTCTTTATAATCATAATAGCATGTTGATCATAATTGAAATCAAAATGTGACTCCGTGTTATTTATACTTACATAAAGAAGATCTATTGTGCTTTTCTTAAAAGCTATGGAATGATCAAGTCCGTGACAAAATAACAAAAACACGTATACTTCACCTTTCTTCGGACGACCATCTCTCTTGGAATGCGAATGCCTTTGATTTTTGAGTGGACTCCCTGGGCTTGGACTATGCTTTCCCTGTGGGGATTGGGGTGATTTCGGCGACTTTGGTGAAGTGTAGATTTGCAATGGAGATACAGAAGATGGATCTGCACTCTCTGAAGCGGATCGAAATTGTTCTTGAAGCTCATGTGACATGTACCCTTCACTCAAGTCCATTGTAGATTGATTTTCTATATTTCTCTTCTTCAGCATGAACTGTCTGCTATATTGTAGATTATTGATTCATAGAGACAAGAAAAAGTTCAACAAATTCAAAATAATAATAATAATAAAAGTTGGGTAAATGTAATACAGAGAGAATCAGTAAAATTGCCTTAATTCAGCCAAATTTGTTGCAACAGAAAAGCCACTTGTGTGGTTCCAATTTAGCCTCATTATGTGGCTAATGGTTAATTATGCCCATTCAACTTTTACTATTAATAGCAAATCCCTCATTTAAATGAAACGAGAAATTCCTTATCCAAGTTTGCGTGTTTATATACTCTTTATCTTCCCTACAAGAGATTTTTTTTATTACAAATGTATGTAGGAGATAATTGGCATAGAATATCCCTATCATTTGCCTCAATTATGCAAATCGTCCCTATCATTTCATTTTTGGCATTTGGACGCTCATATAGAGCATTCTTTGCGCAAGTGGTCCTTTCCGTCTAATTACATCCATTTCCTTCGCTATGTAGGCGTGTATACACACATACATACATATATACATATCAGCCTGTTTGTTTTCCATTTTGCTGCCCATTTTCAGAAAAAATATGACCGTTGGGCGCTGTCATTTTTGACTTTTATCATACAAAAGCCTCGAAAAGTGGTCCTCCAACGGCTACAAATTTCATTTTTTGGGATGAAAAATATGCCCCAAACAGGGCCATAATCATCTTCCTCACACCATCCTCCCACCCCAACCCCAACCCTCCAGCGGAGGGAGCCACTGACGCCAGGCTCCCACCATCACCAGCCACTTGAGAAGTATATGGCAGAGAACTGATGATTAAAAAATAAGCATTGATACCGTAGCTAGACAAATCTTTTATTGTATATGAAGATTGGCTTTGTGGTTCAAAAGAAAAATCAATAAACAATTAAGATATTCTCACTATCATTTTGTTCTTCTTCCCAGCCGATAAGAGGATTACTTTGCTGTCAACAATGTCATCACCCTCAATCTTCTTTGCTTCACTATCAACTCTACTATTGTTCAAGTAAAGTCCCCCTTGCTTGAGAAGCCGACGTGCAGCCGACTTACTCTCAAGCAAACCAATAGAGACCGTGAGATCCAATATAGAAATATTCAAGACTTCATTATAAGGCAAGGAGCAGGAAGGAACATCCTCAGCAATAGCCTCGATGATTCTCCAATCCAATTTGGTTTCTGCCCCCGGTCTTAAGGCCTCAGTAGCTTTCCGTGCCTCGTCAAGACCTTCTTCACCATGGACAAAAAGGGTGACTTCCTCAGCCAACCTGCGCTGAGCAGTGTTGGGGACATAGCCTGGCCCCTGCATTTCCCTTTCAATCTTGACAATTTCCTCTATGCTCAGAAAAGTAAGAATCTTAAGAAACCTCACGACGTCTGAATCAGGGACGGAGAACAAATGCTGGTAGAACTGGTAAGGGGACAAGAGAGAAGGGGAGAGCCAAATGGCACCATCCTCTGATTTGCCAAATTTGGTGCCATCACTCTTGAGGAGAAGCGGGAATGTGAGTCCATAGGCTCCTTCTGCCTGTAGAATTCGACGAATAAGGTCCGTTCCTGCAGTAATATTGCCCCATTGATCGCTCCCTCCAATCTGAACATTAACATCTTCGTCTCGAAAAAGACGAAGGAAATCATAGCCCTGCAGCAACTGGTAAGTGAACTCAGTGTAACTCATTCCCTGCTCCGATTCAAGCCTCGTCCGCACGCTCTCTTTCGACATCATCACACCCATCCTCGCAAATCTACCTACCTCCTTGAGAAAATCCAGCAGCTTAACATCCTTCCACCAGTCGTAATTATTCAAAATAGTAAAACACTTAGCTCCCTGATTCCGACCCAGAATCCGGCTAATAGTAGTCGAAATCCTAGAAACATTACGGTCCAATGAAAGAAGGTCGAGCTCAGGCCGCTCGATGCTCTTGCCGGAGGGATCACCAACCCGACCTGTGGCACCACCGACCAGAGCAACAACCTTATGCCCACATCGGAGGAACCAAGAAAGGACTATTATACCAAGGAGGTTGCCCAAATGGAGACTCTCAGCAGTAGGATCGAAACCACAGTACACCCTAAGGGCAGGGAGGCTGGGATCAGAACAGGCGGATTTTAATGAATCGCTGGTGAGGGACTCCAGAAGGCCTCTCTCCTCGAGAATGTTCACCACGTTGAGCCTACTCCTAACTTCCGCGGTGTTCCCTTCCGTCGATTCTTGGACAAATTGAGTAGAAGAATAGCTTAATGGTAACGGCCACTGATAAGTGTGGCGGCCATGGGTGAGGCGGGGACGAAGAAGTATGGGGGAGTGATAAAGGAATGATCTTTGATTGCAGCAGATTACGAGACGACTCACTAAAGAATTAGCAGCCATTTTCACTCCTTCATTGAGCAGGATAGGATAGAGAGAAGAGATAGAAAACAGAACCATGAATCTTAGGGGAAATTATTGAAAATACCCAAAATTTAACAGTAGCCTTTTCAAAATACTCATTTTCACTATTCAACCATTTAAACTACCTAAAATATCCCTAAATACAATATTTGCAACTTAAGCTGTCAATATAAGAAAAGAATACAATCAAGTCCTAAAATAACTAATAAAAATTATAAAAAATCAAGAACTAAAAGAGGACCATATAAAATTAAAAAGATAGCTAAAGATAAAAAGGAAATTGAATTTGAAAATGAATTTGATAAGATTGGATATCAAAAACAATTAAATGCATCTCAAAAAATATTAAAATGTTTTAAAGA